ATCTTCTGCTAACCGGATCTGATCCGTAGACTTAGATAATAGCGTTCATCGTCTTCTCTTTGTCTTAAACTGTATGAGAACACATATAAGCATTTTTAGACGCCTACATTGGGTTGGCGAGCCTCTCCCATCAAATAGTGTGAAGTTAATTAGGTTGAAGTTTACCGGATACGGAATCAACTCACTCCCTCGGGTATGGACACAGTATGCCGGTCTTCTTCACTTCTTAACCCGACATCAAGGCGTTGACCTTGTTCTCAAGCTATTCCATCATTTTATTGTCTCCATCTTTTTTTTTAGGGGGGGTGTTGAGGAGGATCAACCGGACCACCCCTAATGTTATTGCTGTTAGGAGTATCAGCAAAAATATGTTCATCTACATCCGTCGCTATCATCTGCGTCGGTTTGAGCACAACGACTAGATTCAGCCCTCTGACTTAGCTCCAGTTGTTGATGAGATTGAGTCTGCAACTTTCTCATTTGCTGCATGGTCAACTCCCTCTCCATCTTCATTTCAGCCCTAAGCTCTTCGTTTTGCTTGGCCAGAGCTTCTTGGATTATTTAGGTTAGCTGATCAGGAGTGATGGTGAATGCCTCGCGGGTTAGTCCCATGCTAGACATTGTTTAGTCTGAAGCGACTGCGGAGCAAGCGTCTGATACTTTATCATCCAAAGACAGACCTTCATGCATTCTCTGATAATCCCTGTGTTTGGTGGCTCTCAATTGGAATTGAGACATTTGCTGGGATATTCTTGGATTGACTCTTCCTCTTAGGCTAAAGTCAGGATCAGAATCATTTGAATGCCGTTTTGACTTTCCTTTATCAGCCATGTTAATGGTGAATTCAGGGAGTTTGTTACCTTGGACAGCTGATCTTCTCTTACGGAAGTGTCTTGATTTAAGCTTTGACGCTTCGGTGGAAAGCCTTTAGAATATTAAGACCCTCTGTGGAGCGATCTTAGGGTAACTACATTCTGATAATACTGTCCTGATAAGCCTCTCACAATGACAGTAAGAGTCAGTTTCTCGGGAATTTCTCATTCGAGACTCGTCCGTTACCCCCAGGCCAATAGTACAACTCATCAGCATGATGACCGGAGTAACTTATCATGTGTTGGCACGACTTTCCAGGTGTAACGTCGTCGTCTGACGGACACGCTTTCTTCTGAGAATGTGACACCTTATTGGTGTCCTCAGGAGTCGCATGTTTGGAACTACACTTTCGCGAGGGTAGAACCTTAATGGGCTCTTGTTCTTCGACACGCACCCCCCAAGCGGACGGTTATAGGTATTGACTTGTTGGGAGGACGTATACAACTCCCAGCCTGAAGAGTCGCTCGGGATTTGTTCACCAAACCCAAGCGTTTTTATTGGGACTTTACCTCGATCTTCGTGTAGAGGACCGAGGTGATCCTCCATCACAATCTTGAATTTGGATAAATCCACACTACTGTAAGGCTTCGCCGGAGGTACGGGAGTGACCGGAGCAGGAACGAAGGCCAACGAAAGCTAAGAAACACCCATAGGGGCTTTAGTTGGCGTGAGACAGTTAGTGCTATCTCGGCCAGGTACAAGACAGTCTGTACTGTCTCGGCTAGGTATGAGACAGTTCAGACTGTCTCGGCCTGGAGGGGCTGATTCAGTGATTGTCCAAGTTGATTTTGGCGTTATCTTGGACTTCGACATCCAGACTTGCCGTGATTTTGGTGTTTCTTTGGCCACCTCTTCCTTCTGCAATTCCTGCGCTTTCTGTACAAGAATTCGTGCGTGCGCAAGCAGTGCACGACGCTTCTGGCTACGTTCCTCGAGAGTTGAGCGAGTCCTTTTGACCCTGACCCACTTGTTGGTTGATGGTTTGGAGGAGGAATCAATTACTTGCTGTTGTGGTGGCTTAGTCACTTGACGCCTCCTAAACTCCAGATATGTATGATAATGTATTCCGTCAACCGATTCTAAGGTTTTGGCAAGTTAACATGCAAGGCATTGACACTGCCTCTGACAAGCCCTCTTCGTCAGAATTAGTGCGCCCTCAACGCATAACTCCTTGACTGAAGAGGAGTTGTTGCGTGTAGCAGATCTGGCTTCATTAGATGCCAGAGGGGCGTTGAGAGAGGAATCTTCAACAACTGGGCGGGAGTCATCGCACCGGGTCTTCAGATCTAAAGACCTACGAACCTTCTTCAAAGAAGAGATATTCCTACACTTGCGAGGGGAGGAGGATCTGGAGGAGGAGGATGAGACATACTCCTCAAACTTCTGTTGGTCGAATTCATACTCAACCGCTGCATCAATCGGGATCTTGGTCCTTGGTTGCGACACGACAACCTCGACAGAGAGGCTGTTGGCTCCCACTATGGTCGCCAACGTATTTGTGTCAGAAATCTTTTTCATTGCGGAATCTATTATAATCGTTTATCGATTTACAAGATTCGAAAGAAGGAGCCTTTTTATATGACTTTTCTTACACGAATAAAAATAAATGAAGACTTCCTAGAAACACACGCATGATCATTTATCGATCGCTACTTGTACGGGATCTTTGCCTATGCTGGGGACTCTTTGATCCATTGACCACCGAGTATCAGATCCGATTGATCTCATTTCATAGAGGAAATAAGAACTGAAGTAAATTCTCAATGATGTGAGATAAGTACTCTTCTCAAGATCACAACGTCACTATGATCTTAAGGAAACTGATACAGGGGCTATAGCTCTATCGAACTCCTCTTTATAGTGAAGAATTCGCCAAGATCTCGCTTTTAGATCTGAAATTCGTGGCTCTCCTCTCACAGGGTTAGCAACTCGCCTCTAAGCTCCGAATTTTTAGATCCCCCATGTATAGGGGCCCAAGAGTGTATTTATAGGCTTTGGGTGCCCTATTTTGGATAAGAATTTATGATTTAGCCTTATTTTTAGTTAATTACAACTCTCCCACATTTAAGGATAACCTCAATGTAGTTAAGGAAGCTCCGGAAACGTCAAAATCGATCGAAAACCATCAAAAACGCGTTCCGGAGGCTGATCTGTGCGAAATAGTCAGGTGTGTTTCGCACCTATGCGAAACACTCATGAGTGTTTCACACAAGGTGCGAAACAACTTTAGGTGTTTTGCACTCTGGGTTCGAAACACGAGGCTGGCTGTGTTGTTTCTCTGTTTCGCGCATTTCATTTACTTTTACGCTTCGCCGACTCGCTTCATATGTTTGTTTGCTTCTTTACGGCTTCAGATGATCCTCTTTAATTCGGATAATCCTCTTTGACTCGGATAATGACGTTCATCGTCTTCTCTTCATCCTGAGCTGCATGCGGGAACCTATGGGTAATTTTTGACGCCTATAACAATACTGCTAAAATTTATATCGAAAGAAACAACATATTTTTTATTTTAATAATTAAAGTATTTTATGTTTAAAACTCTGGAATTCATTTCATGGTTTTTTAACATAATCATATATAGATATCAATTGAAAACACAAAGGTTTGTATAAACAAGTCTAAATCTTCATAATTTCATAGAATAAACCCCAATGAACGTAATAAAATCATAATTACTACCAAAAAATCCTGGAAGCTTATAAATTTATAGATTTAAACCCAATAAACTTCATAAAACTGAACCTCATAAAATTATAGTCACGTGCAAAGATTAAAATAAACTTTAACAAGACTTGCTACACACAAAGGATCAAGTTAAGTTTAAAAACTATTGTCAGTTTTAAAACTATTGTCAGTTTTAAAAATTTAAAAGCTAAAGGTGCAAAATATCAAAAGCTCTATGGACTTCCATTTTGTTATAATTGTGTCTTATAACCATTTGTTTTTATAAGGTTGTGGGCTGATCATACCTCTCTGGAATGCAAAAGGCTAACACTTGAGTTAGCTTGTTTATAACTAATTAAAAATTTATTTGCAGAATCTAATATAACTTGGTTTTTGGGTGATTAACATCCATAAAGTAGCAATCGAATAAAACTAACAATGAGGATGGGTTGTCAAATTTATTAATCTTAGCAAGGAGTAGTACAAAGATAATGTCTTGTTTGCTAGGTAAACTGATGCTTAACGATTTTCAAATAAATTATAATAAAATGATTGATAATTGAATAAATATATAGACAGTTTAACAGTTTCAACATCCAAGATCTAACAATAATTGGGATATAACAGCTTCAAATGTTCTGATGATGATCAAATAGTTTGACGGCCTATAAAACTTAAAGCTACAGAGCTAATTGACACAACATATTTGGTTGTACATCATGCATAGTTTTGAATATATGATCATGGGAAAAAGCTTAATGATGATTCCTGAATTTCCTACAAGCTCAACGAAATAATTTTCCAAAATGATTTTACTAACTACAAAAAGATAGCACCACTATGCAAACTCTTAGTAAAATCATCTTTAAGATTGTACAATATCCAAACTCTTAGTGAAATCATCTTTAAGATTGTACAATATCCAAACTCTTAGTGAAATTAACGCTCCTAAACAGTCTAATTTAAAACCAGTAGAATATACAATGAACTCGATATTTGTGATATAAATGCTTATATTCTGATCAAACATATCTGAAGATATAAGTCACTGTTTTTCAGATAATTAATTAATTTTCCTTATACTTGTTATTCATAAATTAATTAACGACTGATCACAGTGCCTAATTTACTTCACAGGAGAACATAAATAACAAATTATTTGGGATAATAGAGATAAAATAAAATTTTAATTTGCTTTGATAGCTTTCTACTACTCCTATCAATCTCAGACCCCTGACATCAACAACTATCAAGCCGAAAAAAGGGGGGAAAGGTAAGATATTAAGCAACCAACTGAAGATTAAGAATGAGAAATAAGAATAAGTAATGATAAATGTTGCTTGATCACCTTTTTGTCAAGATGAATCTACATGTTGTGTCAAACTTTAAACTTTCAAATTCTAGTAAAATTAGTGAATTGACAGATTTATTGGACAAAAAATTCAATTTAAAACTTATACCCAGAAGAAGTTATCAGTTCCAGTCTTCATCCTATACAGGTTAAGTGCTTTAATGATCTGAAAAGAAGTGATGGAAACCCAAAATTTGTATGAAAATATAAAAATATCTCAGCAAGTTTAAAAGATAAATATGGAAAAATCAAGAACCTGCCTGACTCGATACCACGCAAGCCTCCGATACATCCTCCTCGACGAAAGCAGCGACAAACCGCTAAGCGTCCGGCCCAAAACCTCCGCGAAAAGCACAGTCCCCATCTCTATCACCGGCCTCCCCTCTACCTTCTCCCTACTCAAAACCTCCTCATCCCTCACAACCCCCATTTTCCCCTTCACCATAAACTCCTTCCTCTCCCTCTCCTTCTCAAGATCACAAAGCAAATAATCCAACTCCGCACCATACAACAGCATCACCTCCTTCGTCAGCATCGTCCCGAGCAAATCAGCACCCACGTTCACATCCAATTTGTTCTCATTGCCCGAAACAACAACACCTACAGCAAAATCCCCTCTTTTGGGCTCGTAGTACTTCACACTGACATCGGTCACCTCTTCGAGTTTCGGGCTAATAGGTTCATGGGTATCAGCGAATTTGATGGCTCCGTCATCGGAGTCGGATTCGGATTCGTCGGATTTGAAGAATTTGAGGAAGGGAGCTAGGGCTTCGCTGAAATCTTCAGAGGGGGTTTCAGGCTCGGAGGAATTGGGGTTTTCGGGCTTCTCGGGTTTCGTTAGGAGCTCGAGAGGCTCTGGCTGCTTGCTGAGGTTGAGGGTTTTGTTGGTGGAGAAACGAAATAATCATAACAATCGGAGAGGAAGAGGCATAGGGGGGCGGGTGGTTAGAGCGGCAGAGGAGGGGAACGGTTAATGAGGGGGCGGCGGGTGGGATGAAGAGGCGGAGGGGATTCATAGCGTTTCTTCAGTGGTTGAGAAATGGAAAGAATGCAGAGAGAAGGAAGAGGCGTTGCGGAGGGGCGCGGCAGGGAAAGGGCGAATATTTAGAGTTATATAGGATAAAATAGAAGTTACAAAATTTGAAAAGGGCATTTGGGTATGCAAAAGTTTTGATAATGGTTTTTTCTTTAATAGAAACTAGTATGCTAATACGTGCGTTGCACGTGATGCATATTAAGAAACTACAAGGTCAAAATCCATAATGTTTCCATAATTAAAGGCATTGAACTTATACACAATGACACAAGAGAATGTCGAATAAACAATATTCACAGGATAGGAATATTGTCTATAGAGAAGGAAACCATAATATTCAACCATATATATATATATATATATATATATATAGAGAGAGAGAGAGAGAGAGAGAGAAAAACTTGTGTCAACTTAAGTGGACGTCCACTAAGTTTCTTAGTCATTGATGATCACTTGATTGAGCTACATTGTGGATGATCCGCTCCGTTGAACTTGATCTACATATTCTAAAACCCCAACAAACCAAATTTGGGGTGAATCCGTCGTGGTTTGACCCTCCGTCGAGCCATGTAAAAAGTTCTATTCATTCAAAACCGTTAAAATTGATACGAGTGGATGAAAGGTCAAACCACGACGGATTCATCCCAAATTTAGTGTGTTGGGGTTTTAGAATATATAGATCAAGTTCAACGGAGCGGATCATCCATAATGTAGCTCAATCAAGTGATCATCAATGACTAAAAAACTTAGTGGACGTCCACTTAAGTTGACACAAGTTTTACTCTATATATATATATATATATATATGGTGTGCGTGATAACAGTGATCGTACAATCAAGAAAAAATTAGTTGATCTTAACTGCAAATAACTAATATTCAGCATCACATTACAAACCAGGAAAATATTCAATTAGCATGGCGATAAACATACAATGAGAGTGAAAAAGAGTCAACATGATAGCTTGTGTTATTGTTGAATCCAATAATTTAAAATAAATAATATTTATGCCAATAATTTAAAATAAATAATATTTATTACATATAACAAGAAGCTAATGAATTTCCATCAATATACAAGTTTACAAACTGGTTGAAATCGAGTCACCCTTCCCTAGTATCGAAGGAATTAAACAAAAATTTGCACAGGGAAAAAAAGGGTCGTTCATGGATTAGGCAGTGTACACAAATTTCTACAATAATTCAAATCACACCGGCACAAAATTAGATTATACACAAGCAACAAAACACATGTAACTGTTGGTGAGTAATAGATTACACAAGAAAAATGCGTCAAAATGTAATATGAAGCATCCATGTGATTCTAAATAAAGCAAAGCTTCTGAATTACAAGCATACTAATTCTCTTTGGGATTAAACAACCATAAGAAAACCACATATCCTATAGATGACTCAATCCTATATATCAGAGTATGCATACCTTGCTGACTGTACAAATATATCTAGGGATATGAAGTCATCCAACCGAACCATTTCTCTCTTGTTCTGATCAAAGCTCTTAAAAAATGAAACAGGAAACATCAATCAATATCTCTCTAGCTCAAGGATATTATATTCACCAACATTTGTAGAGGAGCAAATGCATAAACAGATACTGCTAAATTAAAAATTTATCAAACAGAGATGCTGGATCTCGTGGCGTCGAGGAGAGAGGAAGAGGAGGAGCAACAGGAAGTTAGGGTTAGGGTTTTGGAGGGGTTGGGGTTTGGGGAGATGGATGAGATGGCGTCGGCTTATTACGCAGGGGAGAAGGGGCTGTCATTGAGAAACGGCAGAATCGGAAGCGTGGAGGCCGAATGTCGAATTAATTTAAAGACAGAGAGAGTGAGAGGGGCAGGAGAGAGAGCGGATTAGGAAGGGAAGAAGGAGAGTTAGGCGTTATCGAAGAGAGAGAGGGAGAGGCCCGAGAGGGGCAGGGGCAGGGGAGAAGTCGGATGACGTTGGGAAGAAAGAGAAGCGTAATTGGGGAAAAAGGGTTAAAACATAGGACAAATTTAGAATTAAGTAATTTGTAAAGGGTAAAATGGGTATGCAAAAGTTTTGACACTTGTTTTCTCTTTTAGAAATAGTATAGATATAGATAGTGTGTGTGTATACATAGATATATCGCAAAAATGGTTCTGCAAAAAACTTTGAGGTATATTGATTACCAAGGTTTCTCTTCTGTTTTCTGAATAACAATAGTATCATATCTTTAATGGTTTTTGGATCTCAATATCGGTTTGTTTCTTCTCTCAGTAACGGATATCTCACCGCTCATAACTAAGCTTATTTCCTATATCATATACTTTACCATGCATTAAACATATAAATGAAAACAAAATATTAAAAGATACAAAAAACGACAAACTGATTGCTTCGAATAAATATGACCCGCTCTCAACAGAACTGATCGCAAAGGATAATGCCAATTTATTCCCTCTTAATGCTCTTGTAACTATCACTTTCCCTCTCAATATGCAAATCCATAAATTTAGCTTCTGTAATTTCTCTCTAAATTGTAATAAATGTCGAGTATGAAGGTGAGAGCTTGATACAAAAGAACACATATTTGAACTCATGAAGATGAATTTCAGAACCCTTTTGCTTCCTCTTCTCCTTGTCTTTCTTGTTATGAGCACATATTTTGATGCAAGTTATGCAAAGAAAAAACATCATCGTCATAAGCATCACCACAAGCCAGAACCGAGTCCAGACCCTGGCCCGAGTCCGGTCCCGATCCCTAATAAAACAGTCTTCAAAGTGCTAGACTATGGAGCTAAGGGAGATGGGGAGTCCGATGACACCAAGGTGAAAATACCAGCTGTATCTGAACTCTTTTTTCTATGTTACTTCAATGAAAACATAAAAATAAATGCAGGCATTTCAAGATGCATGGGATAATGCTTGTGATGCAGAAGCGTCGACGATTGTGGTTCCTTCAGGCTACAAATTCCTCGTCAGTCCACCCATGACTTTCATGGGCCCTTGTCAACGTAACATTGTGTTTCAGGTATATTCTTGCTTACAGTTAAGGGTATATAGATCTGAGATGTATGAGATAAAAAGGTTTTTGTTCATCCACCTTCAGGTAAAATTGCATATCCAAAACTTTATGCTCGTTATACTTTTATGTTGCATAACTAGAAAGCAGGGGAACAAAGTTATTTACGACGTCAATAGCTATCAGTAGTGTTTTTATGAGCCATCTCTGTTCATATATATGCAGCATATAACAAATACACTATTTTTGTTGTCTGCACACCGTTGTGTTTAAGGACTAATTACATTCAGGTATCCTGAGGCATGATGTAAACAAAAGTTTGCTAATCTACAAGGGTAATCTTGAGATTACTCATTGTACACAAATAACTCTGAGAAGGAAAGGACAGACTCCCGGTTCACCTCTGTAGTTATAATCTGTAATCTCAGAGTGACCTATGTAGATACACAGACTCTAGGATCACCCATACAATTTCTTGAATGTAATTAGTACTTTTGCCCCCCAATTTGTTTTTCTTCTGAAACACTCTGTCTATAACTACGCAAAATAATTCGATCGAAATTAAACTAGAGAAAAAATATATTCATATGATGATATGCAGTTAGATGGCACAATCATTGCTCCAACAAACCCCGACGTATGGGTTTCAGAAAAGGATCTCCTGTCTTGGATAGAATTCAAGAAACTCAAAGGCGGCATCACAATCCAAGGCAACGGTACTATAGAAGGACAAGGAAGTGCTTGATGGCAGCCTAAGGACAAAGACAATGAAGTAATCACATATTAACCAGTTACTTAACTCTCTATATGTATCGTGTAATTTCAAATTTATTAATTATTGAAATCACGATGCTTGCAGGAAACTGGCTCGACTGATTCAAAAATGCCTAAAATTAGACCTACAGTACGATCATGATCCCTCATTTTACGAGCTAATTTAAGTCGTTTTATACGATTCTATTTACATCTTAATTGCTTCTATTTACAGGCTTTGAGATTTTATGGGAGCGACAATGTGACTGTCACCGGCATCACCATCGAAAACAGTCCCCAATGCCATTTGAAGTTTGATAACTGTACATCTGTTCAGGTCTTCAACTTCAGAGTCTCTTCCCCCGCTGACAGCCAAAACACCGATGGAGTTCATGTTCAGAACTCCCATGATGTCTCCATTTACAATACCAGCCTGAGTTGCGGTAATTTTTCCATACTTTAGTAATGTCTATCTATAAACCAAGTAAATATTTGAACTCGCTAATTCTTGTGTGGATGCTTGGAATAGGGGATGATTGTATCTCTATCCAAACTGGATGCTACAACGTGCACGTGTACGATGTGGACTGTGGGCCCGGGCACGGGATTAGCATTGGCTCGCTAGGAAAGAAGATGAAGAGAGCTTGTGTTCATGATATTTTGGTTCAGAATGTCAGGATGAATAACACTACAAATGGTGTCAGAATCAAGTCTTGGAAGGTAATCTACTTGGACCCGAATTGACTTGGGAGGATTAATTCTCATGAGTCTAAACATAATTTAACCATATATCCATCTAACTCGCGCTCCTACTTCGAGACTAAACCCATCCTTAAACTGAATGGGTGAGGGTCACTACTAAAACTTGATGTCGCAAATGTGGGTCAGAGTATGGTCATGTTTGTCTGGTACAAAATCCAATCTTCACCCTCTTAAAG